CGTTGCTCACAATTTTTAGAATGGTCTTAAAAACTAAAAAATACATAAAATTCTCATGCATCTATGAATACTTAAAGATACTTAAAACTAATATCCTAAAGTAAAGGGCCTAACTAGAGAATGCTTTTAAGAAAGGTGTGAAATGACATATAACATAACTACGTCATTTAAACGTCAGAAGACGTCATATAAACGTCAGTGTGCTACCTGGGATGTTATATAGGCGCAAAATAGGTACTGAATTAAATATTATTTTACAAATCACATATTTCCAAGTATGTGTTACAAATGGACATATAAGCCATCTACAAAAAAAATATTTACTTCAATATTTGTATACAAAGTTTATTGGATTATTTTCTGAGGATTGTATAGAAATCTAAATTTCGTTTCAACTAGTTTAAAGAGTTACCACTAGATGTCAACAAATTTGTTTTAATTCAAATATACATTATATAGGCATGGATTGTGGGCATGGGTATATTTTAATGTAAGTAGGTATTAACTTAATACTATTAAGTAGGTTTTATCGGTTGCAAACATTTTTATTTTCACCATTATTTATAATCAATCAATATTTGTTAGTAAAGCATTATTATATGTATATTGCGTTGTTGCTTGTCGTAAAAATACAATTTAAAATATATTTCATTTGATATACTTACATCCAAAATAAGAATTATAAGGGCCATGTTTTTTATTTAATAAAAATAATAAAACAAAAAGCAATTATGCACAATTCTTGTATTACCTATATCAGTTTTAAACTCAAAAAAGCTTAAATGGTGAGTGTCTTTATAAGTTAAACTAAACTTATATCTTAAAGTTTTTAAGGTTATGAACTAATTTATGTGACAACACTCTTACATCTTGGCGGTAAATAGGCACTGTTTAGGGCTCCTAATTTAAACTACTACTGGCCAAAGTAATTTAAACCGTGGTGTGTACAGCGGCTTAGCTAAACTAAACGAAATCCGTTTTCAAATGCCCTTTTCCTGTCTCGGTTAGAAAAAGTGCAAATAGGTACCTAATAGTTTATTGTGCGACTAGTGAGAGAAAAAGAAGAGTTGAGAAGAGTGGAATCTCCTATTTTGACCAATAGTCGCACACAATGTTTTATTCAACTACCTCAAGGAATTAAAAGCCAATTTGATATTTTATCTGACATCTGTTAAGCAATTTTAATTTAACCTCACTTTTTTTCAATTTTAACCTAAACTTTGTAACGGATTTTAAATAGAGGTTTTAATAAAAATAATTAAAATTGTAAAAAGTACTTAATTTTGCTTAATTATTTGCCAAATATTAGGCAACCCAGTTAGCGTATTCAAATCTTTCTCTTATGCGTTGTGCAAAACAATAATAAGTTGTGTTAAAATTAAATTAAATAAATTAGTTAAATTACCTACCTATTTTGAATTTTTTTTGTAAATTGATTCTTAACGGGTGGCGCTTTGGAGAGGTTGTCCGGAAATGAAGGGCTAGCCATTTTAATTGAAGCTCCAGACATTATAATAAATTTATTATTAAGTGAGAACCAAAAGTTATCTTAAAGTTTTAATTATTTGGGTGTCATACCTTTAACCACTTTAAGGCTACACCAGATCAAAGGTAACCCATATTTTTATTATTTCTTGTATTTTATGTAATCTAAGCTATCAATCTCTTTTAGGCCTTTTATTTACCTTCCACTGCGTTTTTGTATTGCACCTAAATTATGTGCTTTTTGACTATTATTGGAGCATCATAATACGATTACTTGGAAAAAACTTAAATAAAATTGTTTGGAGAAATAAATACGAACCTGTACCTGTGTCCTCCGTCACAACGCAACGCTAGAGTTTTGTCAAGAAGTGTAACTTACTTGAACCTGTTGTGTATTCTGGATTCTGTGCTGTAGTACAGCAGCTGTACATCTTAAGTGCGTTCGAAATAAGAGTGTACCTACTTTGGATAAAGTATAAGCCCTATATAGGGCTTATACTTTATCCATAGGTATAGGCTTATACTTTATCCATAGGTATATAACCACGTGACTTAACATTATAACTGACTTCCTTTTATTTTCGAACGCCGCGGCGCGGAGCATTTACCTATAATCTTTATGTTGTAGTGTTCTAAAACCAATTGGTTTTGCTTTACGTTATTTGACTGAATTCATATAAATAATAAATTATTGAATTACAACCCTTGGTTTATTCAAGTTTTTATGATACATTTTTGTTTTGTTTTTTAGAGTTAATATTTTTTAAATAATTTATTTTAAATACATTCTCTTATTTTAATGTTTTTAGTTTTTTTACTAAATATAAAACATATATTAATAAATTATATGAAGGTAAATTAAAATTATTGTTTGATGTACCCTATGCGCATGGCGGGTAAAACTTAACCAAGTCCAAAGGCCCATTTTCAATCAAATCTCGTGCTAGAGTGGGAGTTTGCATAGTATTCATTTTCATTAAAATCTGACTCCAGCCGCTGGAGTCCAGCGCATAATCCGCCGTACGTGCTAAAGCTAAGAAGGTGTAAGCTTTCGGGCTGCATCTGGTTTGGATTTCAATATTGCGGCAGACACAGCTGATTGCAGAAGTAAAAATAATCCTAACCTCGAATATTTTAAACAGCTGATTGCCGAAGTGGAAACAATATTAACCTACTATATTTTAATAAACTACCATGGAATACCCAGTAAGCACCAAACACTCGGCAAACAGTCGGCCTTCGCTCGGAATAGGCGGTTGACCGGCGGTTCGGCTTGCGTCCCGCTTATGGCCCGCGTTATGTTGGCCCGGTACCGTTTGGCCATGTTCTAACCGAAGTCGGCCAGAATACGGCATGCCGCTGAAAAATCGTTCGGCTTGCCCTAGCCGGACCTAAGAAATACTTTTTTTCTACGTATAAAAAAAATTGGAAAATTGATCAGTATACAGGGAAAAACAAAAAGTTTATTTTTTTTCAATGGATCACCCTATATATGTATTTATTTTTCGTTCCTTGTAAAATTCTAAGCATATTTCATATAACATATGTTTAGGTAAATGGTATATACCATTTACCTAAATTCAACCGTTTCTGAAATATTTAAATTATTTTTAAGATAATAATTTGAAATAGTTTGTCTTTCCCTGTCTGAGTACGCCATTTTTACTTATTTAACAAGACATATTGACATAATATCACTATAGTAATTTATTTTCAATAAAAATTTTGGTATACTGTAGCTTCTTGATTTCTAACAGTTTAGAAAAACATTTAATGATAACATTTCGAATGCGAATATTTCAGAAACAGTTGAATTTAGGTATATGGTTTGTTATATAAATTTTGCAAGGAATTTTGCAAGGAATCAAAAAATAAATTCATATATAGGGTGATCCATTGAAAAAAAATAAACTTTTTGTTTTTCCCTGTATACTGATCAATTTTCCAATTTTTTTTATACGTAGAAAAAAGTATTTTTTAGGTCCTACATAACCACACTTTTAAATTTTTTGGGACACTTAAAATAAAAAAGTTAAAGGGGGGCGACATTATAGGGGATCACCCTGTACAAATATAGGAAAAAGTTTGTAAATAAACATTTCTCATGTATTTAACCATCCATTTTTGTTAAGAAAGAGAATCCTATTGATTTTGAAGACTGTGAACTTGTTATTTCATAAAAAACATAGCATGTCATAGTTTATTTACAGTGCATATAGGTGTTATAGATACAATATAACTAATATGTCATTTAGGAAGAGTTCAATAGGGTTTTCGTTACACAAATTAACAAATAAACTACACCAAAACAAAAAACCTAAAGATAATTTACATAACCCCAAATTTTGACATTGTTATTGTCCAATCGCAGCGCCAGCTTATTTGAAATTCGGCGCGAAATTTTGCATGCTTGCTGGAGTTCTAGTAACGGTTGAAAAGCCACTCTACATGTGCGACACACATCCACTCTAAAGATAGCTTCAGAGTTGATTGAAAATGTAGCTTAAAGCTTGGACAACCGAGAGTGCACTCTGGGCATACAGTTGCTGTTTTCGAATAATTGACATTTGTATTTATCTAGGTATACACCAGAGAAATCGAACGCGCAAGGTAAACTTGGAGTGTATCCAGCCAACATTCAGGAGGGATAATAATAAATTTTATAAAGTAAACTTTGAGTAAAAATATTCCTTTTTATCTTGTAAGCCGAATTCAATTGTTCCAGGTAATTATTTTTGATTTGTTATTAATTTATTTGGCTCAAACGTTGACAATCACGTTATAAAAATTATTTACTTACCTTGATAATCTCAATTTATTTATTGCTTCTTAAATTTGACCTTGAACTTAAAATTTATTTATGTCAGAATTTCTTTTGGCTGGCGCTCATTTTTAAAAATACTTACCCACCCTGCTCCCGACTAAGAAAGGCGACAGTGCATGTAAGCGAAAGTTGAATTTTAATTAATTTTATTAGTAAAATTTCGCCTCAAGCTAGATGGGTCTCTTATTAAAGCTAACTTCAGCCCGTGGACAAAGCAGTACTTTTTAAACCGGTTTTAGCTAAGAAATAAAATGGGTGTTGAAAAAATTAAATTACTACAATAATAGCCTAAACTAATTTAAAACTGTCAGTGTTGCCAGACGACTCTAAATAAATAATACTGACTCGTACGATTTTTTTAGAATGGTGTTTTTTTGCGAGCCCCCTAAAGCGCGCGGTTGTCAGCGATCGCTGCGCCGCGACGCCTAGCTACGCATCTGGGTGTGTTATGTATTGACCATTATATTATCGTTAAAACCAATTAAAATAATAACTAATTTAATTTTTCATAAAAAGAATATAGTGCGGCGGCTCTATTTAAATTAGAAAGTAAACCCAGGGGGTTCCAAATTAAATATTAATTCCCGCTGCAATAATTTAAAAGGGACCGTTCATGATCGATACGAAAATTTGCGCGCGCGCAATACGGCATAATTTCACACCGGTGCACCAAGCCCGCAATCTGTGCGCGATTTTGTTTGATCATTGTTGCATGTCCTGAAAAAGCAAATATACAAACCCGGAATGCTAACAAAACAATTAATTAAATGGTCACTAAACGAAGGACTATAAATACGCTATGTATTTTGCGTAAGATGTAAACTTTACAATTATCATCTATTAGTGCTTTTGAACCAAATGATTCAGGTAAGATTATTGTTAAATTAATTTTAAATCGCAACAAGCACTTTATGTGTGAATCTTTATTTATAGTTATAATTTCTACAAAAGTAAAAATTAACTGTTAGCAAATCATTTACGATAAAATAAATGTTTTTTAATATCATTGATTATGTTAACTTACCGATAATATCATTAATATGGCCACGATATTTTATTTTTTGTTGCTTCACTTCACGTATTTTGGCCTCCCATCTAAATGTTAGTTTACTGTCTAAAAGTGCTGTTAAATTTTGGAATACCATGGCATTTTATGGTTAACCATGGTGCATGTGAAAAAACAGCCACTAATAACTATTAAATTAGTCATTTTTGACTAACTCATTTTTAGAGAAAACATTGAGTTGATTAAAAAAAAATTAAAATTTGTTATAGGTACCTGATTTTCATGTTATTTGTTTTAATTACTATTGTAATTAATATTATTATTTTGAACCAAGAAAATCATAATTATTAAAAAAATAAAATTATATCCGGTACTGCACCAACCAGTCCGGTATTTCGACTCTTATAATACAGGAAAACATTTTTATATTTAATTTTAGCAATAAGTCAACTAAATTCATATATTTAATTTTATTTCATATACGAGGTGTGTTCGTTTTTTGAAACAAATATTTATTTATTCGTCTACATTAATGTTGTCGCCTTCAAAATAGTCCCCATTGGATTTTATTCACATGTGCCAGCTTTTTTTCTAATACTCGAAACACTTTTAAAACTCGATCTTTGGGATAGCCTTTAGTTCTTTCAGCGATGCGCTTTTAATGTCATCTATAGATGCTTGCAAAACGACGGCCCATTAAGGTTCTCTTTATTTTTGGGAATAGGAAAAAGTCAGACAGAGGCATGTCTGGCGAATATGGAGGCTGGGGCATCATTACAGTATAGTTTTGGGCCAAAAATTTTGTTCAAAATTTAACAATTTTGGAACAAATTTTGCTGCCACGCGTTTCATACCCAAAACATTCCAAAAAATTTCATGGGATAAGCCAATCGATATACCAACATCATCAGCGACTTCTCTGATGGTTTATAACCATTTCTTCTACTTTTTTTCATGTTTTTATCGGTTGTTAATGTGCTTGTGCGTTCGGGGCGTTCGTTATCTTCAACGTTTTCACGGCCATCTTGGAAACTCTTATACCACTTGTAAACTCTCGTTTTACTTATAGCAGACCCACTATAGGCCTTTGTTAACATTTCACAGAATTTATTTAATTTTTTAAGCAAAATTGGATACCAAATTCTTTGATCCATTTCTTTTAACGAACAAAAATCGCCGAGCTCATAAAACACGTCTAACCTTAGCGGCTGCCACAGAAAGTTTTTATCATACTTCGGGGGCATGTATACCAACATAATAAAGAAAATTTTATGACAACCGGACCCTCTGAACCCGCGAAATTTAACAATTCCCGTTATTTTCTGAACACACCTCGTATATAGTTTATCACACAATAATTCCATGAATTGGCAAATCAGGGTTTAAATATGACACGCAATAACTGATCAATCGGGTATGAAAAAATATTGTGCATTAATTTCAGTATCAAAATCATGCTGCTAGCATGAGTGAAACGAATTTTCAGCATACATTCTGTAATTTTCAGTGTCACGAGCAAGGTCTGGACTAATAAACGCAATAATGTATTAGCAGATTTAGTGAGGAGTCAATCATCCGGTTCTTTTCATTTCTTATGATTGCACGGAAATGTCTTAAAATGAATTAGTAAAAAATTACTAATTGTAAGTTATATTTGACCAAATGGATATGGAGATTTTTCTACTCGTAATCATTCGATAAACAGTTTGACTATATACACAACCGTAGTTGGGTACGGATTAAGTTTTTAAAACTTGATTTAATAAAATGGTGTTTTTTTATATATTTCTAATATCTCTTAATAAAAGTTATAAGTTTTAGTACCCAGACTAGATTCTCGATCTAACAACGTGTTTTATTGTCATAATGCTAGAACCAACGTACTTATTAAGTCTTCCATTTATATAATGTGTAACAACTTTAATTTAATTTGCAATAATTGTGTTTTATTTTGTGATAGCATTAGCAAGATTATCGCCATAGCTTCTTTATTTTTTTGTTAGTAGTTATTAAGTAGTTTTTTATTTTTTTTGTTGTTCTTTCATATTTTATTATATTTTTTTTATTAGGTATTTTATTAAGTGTTACTCATTTAATTTGTCCTGTAATTGGAATTTTCTGTATTCTGTTGGGCAATAAATTATTATTATTATTATTATTATTATAATTTATTCTGTGAGATTAAGAACAGTAAAACTCCAAAAATTTAATGTTGAGAAGTAATTTTCAAAAATCAATTTTAAAGTTCAAAATACATTTTTGTGAGAGAAATCGTTTTAAATAATATGAATATTATAATTTATAAAATAGTTAAAATATTGTCACAAAAGTTCATCTAGAACTATAAACTTGATTTTTTTAAATATTTTGTTAAAATTTTAACTTTTGGACTTGTACTGTTCCTAATCTCAACGATTCAATTAAACCACGGCGTTCTCTATACGTATATTTATAGAGAACGCCGTCATTAAACACATTATAATAAAGATTAGGCTAAAACTAAACAAATTCCAATAACTGTAACCCTATTTTCGTGACGCTTTCATAACGTAGCGTGGTAAAAAAATGACGATGAACATCGCAATACCTAATCGCGCTGCAGCGTCTTTATATCAAAATTTAACACACTAATCACCATTATAATTAAATAAATCTAATAATCCATTTTTTAGGGAAAATGTCGCATATGGAATTTATGCATATCGGCTTTGGCCTTCCTATCGTTATACAATATTATTATAACATTAAAACTACTATACGCTCCAGAATGCTTAAGACATAGCCCTCCTCTGCCAAAACCAACTGTTAAAATAATCCGCAGGCCATGCGAAAAAGACGAAAAAGCCATATACACCAAACAGGTAATGAATTTAAATCTTCAATTAGGTAGATGGGACATGAGGTTGCAATATAAATTATTTGATCACATAGTAACAGGTGAAAAGTTTGCTATACTCAGCGAACTGTTTCGAACTTGCTTGGCTACACAAAGTTCTATAGAAAAAATTGCTTCAATAATTGAAGTATCTAATCACTGGAATGGTCCAATATCATTAGCAATATTCGCTGCTAGCGAAGACGAGCTAAATACGCTTTTATTATATGTTATGTATTTAAGAAAATGTGATGCGAGAATCAGAGACAAGGTTTCCTTTCATTTGGCAATTCCCAAAGATAAAAGACCAAAAAAAGTTGCCATTGACATTGAAAAACTGGATGAAATGGACTGTGGAAATCCAATGGGCACCCTTCAAAGCCTTATTAAAAAACTCCAGAAACAAAATGGGATGTGGAGAATGAAAATGCCATATCCCCAAAATTTAATGAGGAATTTGGCTAGAAAAAACTGTCAAAGCAAGTTCGTTTTTTTAACTGACGTTGATATCATTCCAAATAAAGGTATGGCTGAGAGTTTGGATGTGTTTCTTATAAATGCCAAATGTAAGGGGTTGTGCGCGTATGTTATACCAACATACGAGATTGACGAAAGAGTACGTTTCCCTCCTAATAAGACTGAATTAATTCGACTAGCTAATAGGGGTCTCGCTAGGCCGTTTCATCATAAGGTTTTCATTTATAACCAGTATGCTACTAATTTTTCAAGGTAATATTATGACCGATTTTTCATGATATATGTTAATAATCTTTTCTTTTAGATGGCAAAATGCCACCAACGAAAGAGATGAAGTTCATATTAATCATCCAGTAACAAATTTTGAATTTCTTTATGAACCTTTTTATGTTGCACCAGATACGGTTCCTTTGCATGATGAAAGATTTGTTGGATATGGATATACAAGAAATAGTCAGGTAAACAAAGGATACAGAGAAGCCCAAGGTCCCAGTTTTCTGGCTCAAAATAAGTCAAAATTTGACACTATTTTTGAATAATATGTGTTTACTTTTTATTGAAAACTTTTGGTTGTCGAATGCTTTAAAATTTTTTTAATAATTTCTTTACTTTGACCAAAACCATTATAAATATAATCGTATATAAAAAAATGGTCAAAATCGATTGACGCAATAATTTCAAAGCGTTTTTTCGACTAAGGGCCGGTTTATCAATGTTCGGTAAAAGTTGCAGTTAGTTATCTGGGAGAAAATTTCCTTGGATACCTACCATTGTTCTCAAAATGATACATATAAAATTTAACTAAATTTATCTAAGCTATACTAACTGAAACTTAGAGATTGATAAATCAGCCCCAAACAAAGTAGGTAACTGAATATGTATAAGTTTGGTTCAATTGATTTATAGCTAGAAAATTAATAACATTAAATTATCAAAAGAGTTTTTATAGATAACAATAACACAGGAAGAATATTAAATATTAAGTTATACTTGTTTTAGATTAAAAACAAAAAAAATATTTTAAATAATAGTTTATCAACTTCCAATAATTTACCAAGATCTTGTAAACGATTTGTTTATAATAATAATAATAAGAAAAAAATATTTATTTCCATGGAACATTTATATGTGTTAAATACAGACACACTTAAAATTAAACCCAAAAACTAGAAAGCTTAGAAAGATACAGTCCGCGCGTTATAACTTGGCGAGAACGCACTTTGCTCAGTTGACGTAATTTCGTAATGGTACCGCCCTTTAAGTTTAGTTTAACATGTGTTTGCCAAAGCAATGGCGCGTATTCAATACTTAATTTTACTTTTGGCTATTTATTTATTTATTCTATAGAAAGTGTACCCAAATATCATCGTATCGCAAAATTATTATATTAAATTAAAAAAGTGAATGTAACAAAGTAGTAGATAATATTAAAAGGTACCTTATAATTATATAAACAAGTTCAATATATTTTACCTCTATAAAATACAATTTTAAAGTAAAGGTAACCTTAATTATATAGGTAAATATACCTAAATAAGTATATAACCATGGCGGAAGAAGAATTTGGTAATATATCGCTACAGGATGATCATGTAGAACCATTCTTAATTAATCTAGGTTCAGATGATAGTAGCGATGACGACATTTTTTTAGAAGAATATTAATTAATTATTATTTAAGCTATTGTACCAATAAATGTTTTATTCATACCGGGATAAAAAATTATCTACAATATTAAACCTAAATATATATATTAGGGTGGCCCAAAAAAAAAGAATATTTTTTTTTCTTCTCTTCTCTTGTGAAAATATGTTGGTTTGTCATGTTTTAAGAGCCCTGTCAAAAGACATTTTTTTAGGGGTCGCTCAAGATTTTTAAAAATTACCAAAATCGTCAAAAATTGTATTTTTTTATTTTAATTTTTTTTCTCGTTCCGATATTATTTTTTAATTTAAAAATAATAATGATATTTTAATTTCTAAAGGTCGCTCAAGATTTTTTTAACTTCAAAGTAGAGTATTTTGAATGTTTTCGAGCGACCTCTGAATATAATAATAATAATATAATATCAACGAACTTTTAGCGACCTTTAGAAATCAAAATATTGATTTAAAATTTACAGAATTTTTATTATTTTTAACCTAAAAAATAATATCGAGACGAGAAAAAGAATTAAAATAAAACAAAAATTCAATTTTTGACGATTTTGAAATTTTTTAGAAATCTTGAGCGACCCCTACAAAATTTTTAATCGAGCTGATATTTTGAAAGGGCTCTTAAAACATGACTAACCAACATATTTTCACAAGAGACGAGAAGAAAAAAAATATTCTTCTTTTTTGGGCCACCCTAATATATATGTTAGTTATTTTTTCGCGTATGTGCTGCAATATGATTAAAACACAGTTTAATAAACAAATAACAATTTATTGTAAATGTTAAGTGTATACATAAATAAGTGAACAATCTTACTGCTAGGTTTTTACAAATGTTTCTAGGTCCTCTAGCCCCTAAAAATTGTTATCTTAGGTAAAAGTAGGGTTTTATTGCCCTTCTTGAAAATATTAATACTCTTAAAATAAACAAATAACAATTTATTGTAAATGTTAAGTGTATACATAAATAAGTGAACAATCTTAATGCTAGGTTTTTAAAAATGTTTCAAGGTCCTCCAGCCAAATGTTGTAGATAAAGTAGTGTACATTCTCAAGTTTACGCACTCGCGGAATTCCAAACTCGCCCTTAAACTCTGTTATGTAAACTACTATTACCCAAATGGTCTAAATTGTTTTTACAGCCTGAGGTAAAGTGAGTGTTGACAAAAATAAGTTGGGCTCGAATTTATATTATCTTAATATATACAGGAGCTACACCTTAAAGGTAGATGATCTACAGACCTCCAGGAATCCTATGAAATTGTTAAAAAATTCTATAGGTATACCTTTATAATTAAAAAAGATATGTTTCGAGACTTATTATTTAGATTAGGTCTAATGTACAGAATGTTTAAGAACTGCCTGTCTGTCCAATGTAAGCCTTTCCACACGAACAAGGTATCCGATATATCCCGGACTTCTACAGATGACGGACCTTTTCGGAAAATTTGGCGTTAAAGATTACCTTGTTTTCGTAGAATGTTTGCAGTTTTGTCTGTACAGCCTTTAATATAGGGTAAGAATGTATGTACTTGTTGTTTCCTTCTTGGTCTTGGTTTTTGTGCTCTCTTTATTTTCCCTTCACGTAACCAGAAGGCAACAACATAATTGCCGAAACGTCAAGTAGTATTATTACCAATCGACGAGGTTTCGAACCCGATGGTCAATATGCATAGTAATAGTGATGGTAGCCGCGAAAGTCTGAACAGATTATTTGTTTAATATTGGTTTAAATTGGTCACAATCTTATTTATGTATACAAAACCTATCACAATAGCATGGCATAGCAACCGACCCCAAAACCACCAAGACTAATAAAATGTTAACTTTTCAAGTAATGATAAACTTTGCGGTTTATAATTTTAAAATTAAATAAGATAAGAATAGTATTTTATATAATAAATAATAATATATAATATAATAAAATTTTTCCTTTCACTGTTATCCACAAATGCAATAAAATATTAATTTTGGGATTGTGCTTATTTTTGTTTTTCTATTATTCTGATTATATTATATATTATACTACTTGCAAAGGGGCTGAGCTTACTCTATTTAAACTGGCAGCGCGCACCTCTTATTTTATTATTGGTCGTTGATTATTTTTTAAATTGATAATATTTTTTGTATTAGTTAAATAATACATTATCTAATGCTAATTATTTTTTAGGTTTACGAGATGTATGTGGCAGGTTATGAGTTTTTGGTTTTGTCTCCTATTTTTACATGTCATTGGGGTTTGCAAATAAAACGCACCAGACCTCCATGGCGAGAACATCAAAATAACTTAAATAGAAAAAATTTTGACGGCTTTAAAACAGGAAATCTTTGCTAGATACAATAAAAGATCCTCTTAACATGATGAACGTGCAGAAAAAAAAGAGATTTATAATATGAGGACGATTTTGTTTTAATGTATGCAATGAATTATTTAAAAAAAGACAAAATAAACTACAATATATTCCAGTGATTTTTGTTATGTGTCACCTTTTGTTTTTATTAAGTAGGATTTCTTGATCACAATGTTCCCCAGTATGGTGCAGGTCAAGCAAGATTGACGCAAACATATATTTTTATATTTAAATGATAAACTAAAAAACAAGTAAAAAAAAAAATTAAAATCATACCAGATACTTTACGACCCATTTTTATAATTTTTAACAGACATGTATTATGAAGCAAACAAACATAATGTCATAAGACTTACACAAAATACCAGATACCAGATTCTAAACATATATAGGTATAGTGATATTAATATCTCATCGCGATGCATCGGTTGACCTTGTGGTGCAATTTAATAAATAAATGGAAACTAAAAACATATGCTCTTTTCCAAATCTTTCATCTGTCAACTAATACAGAAAAGCGTATATATAATGACTGCAAAAAGAAGGTAACACCATACAAATTATTTTTGATTCGTCTTTGCACCAAACAATGCAGAATAGTCTAGTTCACAGTTTATGGTGTAAAAGTTACTTTCGTAAAAGTTACCCCCTTTTTGCAGCAAGCAACTGTTGTTCAATAATAAATAAATACTGGTTTAAGTAAAAACAATGTATGATCCGAATTTTGCTGTAAAAATGGATAGGTTTTTTATAATTTCATATTTTTATCGTTATCCTCATCTAAAGACAAATAAGTACATTCAGACTAAACTATTATTAACCCCTATAATACGTTCATGAACGTCGTCGATAAAATGTTCTTCTCCGCAGTTTTTGCCACATGCTTACATATACCTACTTTTCCAGTCATGGGGGCAATCAATTTTGACAGCTTCAAAAAGGGCTTTTAAAGTTGGTCGTTGTTTATGTGTTGGCGAAAATCTATAGATAATGGTTCTTATCACTTTTTCATCAAACTCAATCCACTGTTGTCTTGGGACTTGGTTTATTAATAGTTTTTTCGTGGCGAAGTGAATTCCTTGTCTGCTGGTTTCGTTTCACCCTCTTTGACAATTCTTTGCACCCTTAACCCTTTCGCGGGTATATATATGTACCACAAAAATTCGTACGCCAGTTGCTGCGGCCACTCGCTCTTGTAAATGCCTAAGAGGTATAACAGGATCTTTACCATCTTCTTTTCAACTCGCGTTTCAAATATTGGAGATCGTTGCACTCAGAGAAATATCATGTCATGAAAAGCATATGAAATTATATTAATTTAAATAATCGGGTAAATTTGATTCAAATGGAAAAATTTATAGTTTTATATTTATTTACCAACATTTTTACAATGTTTTTAAACACTTTTAAAGTGTACCCTCTTTAAAAGTATATATACAAAAAGAAATCTATTTATTTCATTGCCTTTGTCAACGTTGTTTCAAAAAGATATGTATTATACAATTTTTATAAACCTATTAATTTAATGGGAAACACCAATGACGCCAAAAACATATTTGAATCCCTTTGAATTATTATCGTTTTGAATGATTCTACAACATTTTTTTCTCTCAGGTGTGTAGACGATTTGCCGCCCTTGGCTGTGAATCACTGCTTTTTTTCGTTAATAATTTCGTATAACAAATAATATTTATATAAATTATATAAATTATATTATAATATTATATAAATTATATTATAATTATATTATAATATTATATAATATATATATATATATATATAAATATATATATATATAAATAAAATATATATGTAGCCAATAAGGGTACCAAACTAAATCTTCTGGACTTTTTGGAAATTAACAAACTAAAGAAAAAATCTGATATTGTTCTTAATGACCAAATTGAAACTAACAGCTCTCCTTTGCTAAATTTATTTTAGAATGTATACTTGTAGTAGGTACTAAAAAATAATATTTAATAATATTATAAAATTATATTAGATTGGACTTTCCAAATCCTTAGTTTTTCCAAAATTGTGTAAGTTTTATTAATACCTTCAGGTGTAATGTTTATACAACACTTGCCATTTGGTAATATAAATACCGCCACTTGATAAAAATATGTACTAATTCTGAAGAAGCTACTGTGTAGCGAAACAATTTTTAATCATTAAAAACATAAATAAAATAGTGAAACTTAAAAACAGTGTTGTTTTTATTCATATATTAATAATTATTGTAATTAAATTTAATTTTATAAAATTTCGGGGCTCGGGATCCATTAACTACTGCCTTGACACACGCGGTGTATTTTATACAACAAATCAGCAAATTTTTGTTAAAGTTACAACGTAAAGATGACCAAATCGTATCAAACTAATAAATCATATTCAAAATGGACTAAATAAATGTTAGGTAAGGGTGTACAGTCAAATAAATTTTATCACCTGTGATACATTTTATTTATACCTGTATATCACAAGAATCGCGACAGTGGTTTACAAAATATACCCACCAGCGCGAGTAATTAAGGGTCAGATGAGTTTAATTTGAATTTTCCCTAATTATGTATACATAGGACTCCTATGATAGTAGCACATTTAGAGAAAAAACACACTCACTAAAGTCAGGATTCCAGATAAAATGCGCAACTGACAACCCAATTTTCAGCGTATACCATTATGATGTTGCCTTCCTATATAATGAAAACTTGATATTGGCTTAATTCACATTTTTTACTACAACTGTTCTTCCATATACGACCTACTTAAATCTTTTTATTATATCTTTATTATATATCATAAATATTTTTCATAGCATTTATAACAAATGCAATGAAAAATATTTTAATTCAAAAATAACCAAGTTAAAAATAATAATAATAAAAGTACAGATATTGGTTTATTGCATTATAACTATTAAAACAAAAAACAAAATACATCAAATTAAATTCCTGTGACTTCTTTTATATATTCTCTTAAAATTGGATTGGAAATATTGGTATACACTCCAGGATATTTAGGAACAGCACATCCAATTCCCCACGATATTACACCAGCTAATACATTATTTACCGAGATGGGTCCACCTGAATCGCCTAGACAAGAATCCTTTCCTCCTTCCAAATATCCAGCACAAAACATTCTGTCAGTTATATCTTCTCCATATGCAGCTTTACAAACCTCAATTGATAAGACAGGAACAGTTACGACCTGAAGTTGAGCTGGTAGATCCAAATCATGTTCTTTAAGCATTCCCCAACCTGTAATAGTGGCCTCTGTTCCAACTTTAATATAGTTATCAGATTCATTCAGAGGAATTGCGGTACTGTTAGGAGTTAAAGTAATATTGGAAGTCAGTTTAAGCAAGGATAAGTCATAATCATATTTATTGTACTCGAATTTGGGATGTTGGAAAATAGAGCTGACATTAATAACTTGCCCACCTTGATCAACTATACTTGAACCAACTCGTATTAAAAAGTCGGAAGCTTGAAACCTTAAAAGCAATCAATGTAACAAGTTTATAGACGATTTAAATGTTCACCTGTAAGTGCAATGTGCAGGCAGTTATTATCCAATTTTCTGCTAATATAGATCCACCACAAGCATGGCTACCTTCCCATATGATGGAAACTTGATATGGATATTGGCTTATTTCAGCATTTTTTCCACCAACTATTCTACTATCTGGTATTTGTTTGGGTATGTGGATACCTAAAAATTTCTTAAATTCATTTTTTTTCTTCAAATAACTACATAAAACCCTATTGTTATGATATAAAAACGTTACTATTTGATTTTAATTTGATAGTGTTTGCACTTTTTTGACTTATTATATATATTACATGTAAATTTTTAAGGTAACTTTAATTAAGAAAAGATAAAAAAAACTTACCCAGAGCAAGGTTAAAAGTGGTAATAAGAATTAAAAAATTGTGCATCATAATTGGTTTAAAGTTAGTTTCAAATTTTCAATATATACGTATAGGTACCCAAGGTGATACGTATCTTTTAATTAATCTAATTTTAAGATAAGATTGCATCTATAGTGTTTTACAAATATTTTAATAATTTTCCATTGTTTCATATTATTTTTGTTAATAATTTTCCTTTATTATAAATATAATAATTAGCCTTATTTTAATTGGTCACATACTTAAATTTATAATTTTGTATTAATATTTTTCATTTTTTATAGTTCTATATCTATAGGCATGAAAAATCACTCTACTCGATTTTATTTTTTTAAAGTATAATCAATTTCTTAAATAGTTCATTGATTAAAAATAATTCAATTCATAAAATAGAACGTTACTTTTTTCCCTTTTAACATTGTGTTGAATTTCTTGTTATTATATTGTTACTATTCTCTTGAGAAGTGTGTTTACTTATTAAATTTTGTATAGAAGGTATAGGGAAGGTGCCCATATTTCTATAAGAGAAACTTCCTGATTTGCTTTACTATCAGCTAATGCTAAAACTATAGAGTAATGCTTAGGTACTTCATATTTATAATAAATGACAGAATATAATATATTATCATTGAGTATTACTCAATGATATTATGTTAAATAAAAATTTCTGCTCTTTTAACAGAAGTGGTTTGTCTTCACTACAGTGAATCAAATGAAGACGAAATCAATAAAATTATAGAGAAGTGGCTAATACAAGGGTTTACACCATACACAATATTCTTTATTAGAGAACAAAAAAAACCGTTACACACAAGAAAGCATAGAAAGAGAAAGGACTATGCGTCGCGTCACTTTAACCCTTTATAGGATACTGGTTGATATTTTAACCAAGCCAAAAAATATATGATGCAAGATAGATAGCGGTCTAATTTTTAGCCAGTTGATCCTTGGCGTACTGTGGAATAAGATACTGGGTCAAATTTCGACCTGTTTCTGTAAACGGGTAAAGTAGGGGGAAACCGGTCGAATTTTTAACCAGTGTCCGCCACCACAAATAAAATGCTACCCGTGTTTTGAGAAGCACAAGAAGTAGAAGTGTATTTTGTGTATTTTTATTTGAAGGATTGTAGTGCAAATTGGTGGTAAGTAGAACAATAAGTGTAGTAATACGATGCAGTAATCATAATTGCCGTATATGTTTGGGCTAGGATAATATTTATGATATTATTGGCATAACCTCATTTATGCTATTGCCAATAGAAAAATAACTAGTGTATACAGTGTATATATTACATTCATTTTAAAATAATTTTGTCTAGCAATAAAATATAGGTATAAAAATAGGTTTTTGTTTATTTTAAAATTTAAAAATGTTTTGCCTAACTCGTAACTAATAAAAATTATTTACTTATAGGCCTAGCCTAGCAGCTAGAGAGATTGTGGTTAAAATTTCAACCTGCTTAAAATAAATATACTAAAAACATTTTATTTTGTTTTTCTTCAATTTTTACCATCTTACACCCCCAGCCAACAAGTAACCGAAAAAAAAAATGTTGATTTCTGTTTTTCATTATCTGCCCTATAAAGGGTTAAGCAGTGTTGCCGCCTGCAATTTGCCGGATGAATTTCATAAAAGTTCCCGACCAAAAATTACAAAATACCCTATTTTACTTGCCGGGGTAAGAAAAATGTTATGTTTATAAATTTTCTACCGTATCCGTTCAATTTTAAAAAATTAATAAAATTGAAGGATGGTAAGAGGGCAGAATAAAATAATTTTGTAAATATACAATATTTGCTGAAAATACCCGATTTTCGGGTAAAATAATCGCAAACGGAAACACTGAAATATTACTGAAATATTTCTGTATATTTAAAATGAAATATTTCATATATATTTCTAACGGAATATTTCAGAAACATTTCGTGTACCTTACAGTGTAATTTGAGACATCGAAATATTTCTGACATACCGTCACCCTAATATAACAATGTTGTATGTTAAAAATCCGAAAAATTTGAGTTTATGCTTCTACAAGGTTTTATGCAAATCCACCCTTGACATACAACTTGAAAATAACTCTATATATATATATATGTATACATAGAATATACATTCTATAGAATTATTTTTAAGTGGTATGTGAAGCGTAGGCCACGTATAATCCTGTAGAGACATAGACTTAAATTTTTCGTTTTTTTTTAACATACAACCTTGATATATTAGGGTGACGATATGTTGTGCTGTGTGGGTTAGGTGACACATTTCTTATTGTGCCATATACCTAGGCGACATATTTGTTGTAATTTTTATATTTAATCTTCAAGGAGCATGGTCAAATCATATACATACCTCAAGGGACCTTAAACCCTAATAATAAATAAGTAGTGTTATTTTCCACTTGTCTCGATAAGTCAATTTAAAACTCAGATATTAATCAAACTGTAAAACTGGACCAATCACAATAATAATACTAAATATGAAATTGATACAAATTCAGTTTAAGAGTGTGTAACTTAATAATTTCATAATAAAGTTTAAAATTATGTATTCTAATAATTTGTAGGTAATATTTGTAAACGTATGTTCATTATAGTATTTAAAATATAAATCAAATGTTAATTCAATATTTTTCCAAATAATAAATAATTGAGAAAAATAGGCATTTGTTTGAGGTACGTGACTATAGTCAAGCATTGTGTAATAGCACCCGTTGGAGAAATTAAAACATGTAAAACAATTATTTACAACACAATATGTAGTATAAATAATATCAAAGACCAACCTGTATATTCTTCTTAGATGAAAGAACCACAATGTACGAAGATGCCTCTATTCTTTTAGAAGTTTTTCTGTTTATTAACATTCGCTCACGTGTGTAGTCACCAAAAGCCAACACCCTAATAATTCAATCGAAAAACCTTTTTCGAGCCTCCTTCCTACCATCATCAAATAATGGACTCGTCCAAAAACAGTAGAAGATTCTTTATGCATGCGCATCATAGAACTTAAAGTTTCTTTAATTCTTTTTAAGAATTAACAGCACTACTTTAAATATTAATTAAGTAAGTACCCTATTTACGATAACTAGATAATTCACAATAATCTTCTAAACCCAATCATTACATTTTTATAAATATAATAATGATTATAAAACCAACAACGCACAACTGTATAACAGTTGCCTATAACTAAAAGCCTAAAGTTGTAATTAAATAATAATATTCAATTAGGGATATTTTAATATTACAAAAATATAACCCCCCGTGGACGGCAACACTTCGGTCCTGAAGTCAATAAACGGTTTTCGCACAGTAAGGCCAACTAATTGTATACAGCGGTTTCCAAATTTTCAGAATAATAATTTTCAGCAGAGATACGTACGCAGATAAGCAAGAAGGTGTTATTAAATCCCTGGTTGAGGGGGATTCCGGATTGCACTTGCTTTTGGACAGTCTATCGTCCCCTAAAAACCAAAATGTTTTCCCTCCTTGTCCCAAACTCCACTAGCCTAATCAGGCGTATAGCCCGGCCCGGCGACAAAATTCTGGGACACTATCGTCCACGATCTCCCAAGGGAGATTTACTAGCCGGGGTAAAAGTACGTTTGATGATAATACAACACAAAGATAATTTTATAAATTATTTTAATTAATTATAATTGATTAAAATAGACTTTAAAATCTGAAAACATTAAAAAACAAAAAAGTTAGTCTTTTAAAAATGGACATTTTTACACCCAATACACTTTGTAGTACCAAGATAGCAAGGGTTTTTATATTGTTATGTTAACAAACAAATATAATGGTAAAATAATAGGAAATATGCCAAAAAGCACCTTTACAAAAATTTAAACGAACAAAGAAACCTGATTATATGTCAATTCAATATATTCTAAATAGGTACCAAAAAAATATGTGCATTTAACAAAGTTTTAAAAATGCAAATACAAAATTGATTTAAATCCTGCCACTAGAAAATGTTATAAAATTGACGATGGACATTTTGTCTAAAATCCGGTCTCTATTAATTCGCGACACACACGCTTGACAAAGTAATAAATGAAGCAGTAAAATCAATTATTACTTTAGATAAAAATTTTATTAAATTTAAATTTAAAATTGATTCGTATTTGCCATGACTTTTGCATAAAATATGGTTAAGGTGAATACATTATTTTTGTTGGCTTTTATTTCACTTAGTAAGTTTTAAATTATAATTTGTAAAATAACTAAATTTATTTTTTTATAGTGTATATAAATTCATATTTAAATGAATTAATTCCAAGTTTTGAAAATCGAATAGTAGGTGGTTTACCAAGCAGTATAAAAGACTTCCCATGGCAAGTGTCCCTTCAAATGCGTGGATTACATTTTTGTGGGGGTTCCATTATTTCGAATTTACATATTTTAACCGCTGCTCACTGCCTACATTTGTAAGAACAAACAAAAATACTTTGTAGGGTTGAATAACTTTTTTATAGGGTTAAAAATGTTGAATCACCAATAGAAGTACGAATTGGTTCTAGAAAGCTGCATAAGGGAGGAAAGTTATATAACTCATCATATGTTATGGTACATCCTCTATACAATCCCAAAAGCACAAATTTTGACGTAGGTATAATAAAACTAAACAAACCCATTAAACAAGGTAATACATCTAGAGCTATCCAAATTGTCGACGAGAATAAATCCTTTCCTACGAATACCATAGCTTATATTTCTGGTTGGGGACATAAAAAAGAGAACGGCGAAATTCAAGATAAGTTGCGGTCGAGCAGGGTTAAAATAATAGACTATACCCTATGCAAAAAATATTTTAAACCTGGTGAAATATCCGAAAATATGTTATGCGCTGGTAACCCGACAGGGGAGACTGATTCTTGTCAAGGCGATTCCGGAGGACCTCTAGTAATTCAAAATAAACTTGTAGGGGTCGTATCTTGGGGCATAGGCTGTGGAAGACCATATAGACCGGCAGTTTACGCAAACCTCGCCAACTTAAGACAATTTATAGACGAGGCCATACGCATAAAATATTAATTTGTAAATAAAATTAATAAATATCGGTATTGTTTAATTTATTATTTATAGACGGAAAAAAATACATTTTTATATTCAAAAATAGTTCTATAATTATAATTTTATATTTAACCCAATAATAATTTACTTAGTAAAACAATACTTTATTATTAATTAGTATTTGCTTAATGTTAATTTTTAACTCTTTCAATATTTATTTTAAGTATTTTTTATTTTATCAAACAATAAAAAATATATTTTATTAAATAAAGGATTGTTCTTAAATTAAGTGAAAATGGTTTCTCTTTTGAAATCCATATAATTTTTCAGTTAAAAATTTAAATAAAATTTCAGTTAAATATATTAACTATTGCAGTACCACTAAATTATATATACTTTTATAATTATTATAACATTAGATTACTTTGAGGAAAGTACCATTTTAATGACAAAGCAATTCATCTTTGCCAAAATAACAATATTTTTAAAGAGAGTAAAAAAAATAAAATGCAAACGTGAGTCAACCTGTAGACTACAAGTTGTAGTACATAAAGGAAAGGGAGACTAAAGCCCGCTGCACAACAGCCCGGTAACGTGAACGGGAACGGGAACCTAAACGGTAAAGGTGGGAGAGTCTCAGCGAACCCTATCTATCAACAATGGTTTTCGATCTGAAGCCTTGTTGCAAACGGTGTGGGGCCATTATCACGAGGCGTTAAAATCCGAAATGTATTCCACTTTGTGACGTCATGACGTCATGACGTCATGACGAAAAATAATACCGATTTACAGTGTGTGCACACATTGTAAATCGGTATTATTTTTCGAGCGATAGAATTATTACAATAAGCTCGGTAGCTCGATGGAAGGGCGCCTGCTTTGCATGCGAGAGATACGGGGTTCGATACTTGGCGCCTCTACAACTTTTTTTAATTTTTTTTTAAAGAATTTATATACCGAAATAATACAATGTGGCCTTAAAAGCATTTATATTTAATTTTACATTAATATTTTAATTTATTTACCTTTCCTCATAATCATTTTGCTAGTTATATAATATATTTTTACTCAATGGGGGGGGGGGGTCAATGGGGCGGGGTCGGTTGGGTTGTGTTGTTGGGTTTGGGTTGGTTTTGAAGCGGGCGGACTCGGGACGTTGGTTAAGGAAAAAAGATCTGCTTACCGTCCTAAGATTGCGTCATTGGATAACGGGAGCGCAATAGAGAACCGTCTGACGGGACTCTAGATTACAATTCGCTGCGGTGAGATGGAATACATTTCGGATTTTAACGCCTCGTCCATTATCTGCTAATACTCACTCAACGCTAGAAAGCTTATTTCGAATCTAAAATGTGATGCAGTACCTACTGCCTCAATAGAGTTACCACTTTCTTAGTTTTACTAAAATAAATATATGAATGTATTTCTATAAATGTTTTGTTTTTTTGTACAGGGTGGTCCACGTAAGGTGGCCCATATAGTTATCTCAGAAACTACTGGAGTCACAAAAAATTTGCAAGGAAGAAATATTCACGTAGAAAGAAATATATTTAAAATATTATATTTTCATTAATACAGGGTGTTCGGTTTTCCGTGGGACGATACCAACTTTCTTATTTTCAATGGAACACCCTGTATATTTTTGCATTTTTAGATTTTACACACTATTTTAGGTATACTTTGTATATATATTAATTAGGAAAATGTTAATACTTTTTGAGTAAAATTAAAATTTATCAAAATTTAAAAATAACCAACTAAAACTTATTATTTTTTATATTATGTAGTATTCATCTCTTTAATAATAACCAAGCTATAAGTTAAATCTTTTTTTTATAAAATATTATACAGGGTGTTTTCTATGCTCCGTTGAAAGGTTTAAAATCTTGTTTTTTTTCAATGGAACACCCTATATATTTTTACATAATTGTATAAAATATGTAATTTCCTTTCTTTTTATATATATATATATATATATATATATATATATAGGACATATATATATGTCCTATATCTAAACCCAACAGAAAAAAAATATTCGCATTTTTCACAATTAGTAGCTTTATGCATATGGTAATTATTATTATTTATATATAAGAGCATTTTAGGTTCCCGTTCCCTTTCTTTTAATTTTTAAGGTATACGGTACTTAAAATCAATAAACTTACCTTCTTAATTTTAATAAGGGTACTAAAAATTAGAGTTTATTATACAAACACAATTAATTGTGTTCTAAATGATATTTGGACATAGGTACATTACGAGGTGTGTTCAGAAAATAACGGGAATTGTTAAATTTCGCGGGTTCGGAGGGTCCGGTTGTCATAAAATTTTCTTTATTATGTTGGTATTCATGCCCCCGAAGTATGATAAAAACTTTAGCTGTTTTAATTGTTTACTTTGTCTGTGGCAGCCGCTAAGGTTAGACTTGTTAAATGAGCTCGGCGATTTTTCGTTCTTTAAAAGAAATGAATCAAAGAATTTGTATCCAATTTTGCTTAAAAAATTAAATAAATTCTGTGAAATGTTAACAAAGGCATATAGTGAGTCTGCTATAAGTAAAACAAGAGTTTACAAGTGGTATAAGAGTTTCCAAGATGGCCGTGAAGACGTTGAAGATGACGAAGGCCCCGAACGCACAAGCACATTAACAACCGATAAAAACATGGAAAAAGTGGAAGAAATGGTTATAAACCATTAGAGAAGTCGCTAATGATGTTGGTATATCAATTGGCTCATCCCATGAAATTTTTTCGAATGTTTTGGGTATGAAACGCGTGGCAGCAAAATTTGTTCTAAAATTGTTAAATTTTGAACACAATTTTTGGCCAAAAACAATACTGTAATGATGCCCCAGCCTCCATATTCGCCAGACATGCCTCTGTCTGACTTTTTCCTATTCCCAAAAATAAAGAGGATCTTAAAGGGCCATCGTTTTGCAAGCATAGATGACATTTAAAACGCATCGCTGAAATAACTAAAGGCTGTACCAAAGAACGATTTTTCGTAATTTATAAGCTGTAGGATAGTTTTCAAAAAAGTGTTGTTTGATTTTTGATTGTGAAATTCTTTTGCATTCTCGAATGCAACAGTGACATTTCGCAATCTAGCATCACAAATAACTATATCTCCTATTGCATCTCCTATCTCCTATCTCCTATTGCATAATATTGTTTTTTTGTCTATGACCGCCTTGCCCAACAGCGGGAATTATTATTCCCGTTTATTATACATGGTTATTTAGACCAATCGGGTTTTAAATTTAGAAAAAATGAGGTTAGATCTGTTCAACAGGTGTCACATTTTTTAGTATATACAAGAACGACTATGATGATCTTTAAAATCGGAGGAAATTGAGATTAATATAAATTACATAGCTACCATTACGTTAGTTTTTTGCCAGCCCGTATAACTTTTGTATACCTAGTGTAATTTTTTTAACTCTTTAAATATTTAAAAAGGGGGCAGTTTTATTAAAAATTTAGTTTTATAGAACATTTGAACCAGTGGCGGCTGGTGGATTTTGGGTATACCAATATCTCAATTATTAAATATGGGACCCACACCAAATTTATAAGAGTTTGTAATGACATTAAATAAAGAAGTTCTGCGCAAGCAGAATTTAAATTGAAGTTTGCGAAAAAAAAGATAACTTTTTGCTCGGCTGTAGCGGCTCAATGGGGCCCCCAAAGATAATATAAATTTAATTGGTGCAATTTATTATTTACCATAGTTTATCGACAAATTTCAAATTTTATTTAAAAAATCCAAATCATACAGATTTTAAATCATTTTAAAGTTTTATTATTTCTTTGAAAGGAAATATTAAAAATTTAAAATGGTATGAAATCTGTATAATTTGGATTTTTTAAATGAAATTTGAAATTTTTTTATAAACTATGGTAAATAATAAATTACACCAATTAAATTTATATTATATTTATTGGGGGCGATGTGGGGCCGATACGGCCGAGGAAAAAGTTATCTTTTTTTCGCAAACTTCAATCTAAATTCTGTTTGCGCAGAACTTGTTTATTTAATGTCATTATAAACTCATATAAATTTGGTGTGGGTCCCATATCTAATAACTGAGATATCGGTATACCCAAAATCCACCAGCCGCCACTGATTTGTACCTACACGATTAAAAAACCACATATATTAATGTAGGTATAATAAACTAAACAAATATAATGCGTTATCAAACAAGGTGATTTCGTTCGAAATTTTCAATAAAAATTATAATATTATATTTTTGGCTAGGTTGGATTGGGTTTATAACATTATGTTTAAATAGAACTAATCATTTGTTTATATTATTTATATACCAGTTACATTTTTAATAAATGATCTTAAAGCGGACACACTAGCATATACCACTGGATAACCAGGTTCAGCACACCCAGAACTCCATGATACTATACCAGCTAAAAACCCATTAATCACCAAAGGTCCACCAGTGTCTCCCAGGCAGTTTTCTTGTCCATCTTCCATAATTCCAGCACAAATCATATTATCAGTTATTCTGCCCTTGCCAACATAAGCCTTTCTACAATGTTCTTTGCTGACAATAGGTACTTTAGTAACCTGGAGATAACGAGAAAGTCCAAGCTTTGAAGAAACACTTAGGAAGCCCCATCCCGTTATGGTGGCGGTGGTATTTTCAGGAAAAAAGGCATTTTCTTTAACCAGTGGAATACTAGATGCATTTTTTCCAAATGGAATAGTTGTGGCTAACTCCAAAATAGCTAAATCGTAATCTAATGTTTGGGGACTGTATTCATTATGCTTATGCATAGTTTTTATTTGAACTTTAATACCTCCTTCTTCCACGACTTCTGATGCGGCTCTTATGGCAATATTGTCCGTAGTAAAGCTAAAAAATATTAATATATTATAAAAGTTTGTTACATTTATGCAATTTATATAGTTTTATGTAAAATTATATTTTTATTACATTTTCAATTCGGAAAAGGCCAAATTTATTTATTTTGGGTTTGCAAATAAAAGTAAGCAAGTAAATTTAGTTGATTTTTACAACGTTTAAAGGTCTTCTACCTTATGTTGTAAAATAAAACTATATCTTTTTTGCTGTGTAATATGTTCACCTGATTTTAACATTTTAATAAGTCTTGTTTTTAGCCCAAAGTATAATTTTTAGCAAACTATAAAATAGGTAGAAGACTTATTAAAAGGTTAAAATCTGGTGAACATATTACACAGCAAAAAAGAGATAATTTTATTCGAAAACGTAAGATAGGAGACTTTTAAACGATGTAAAAATCAACTAAATTTACTACAAAACTATTTTTTAACCTTATATTCTCTCACTAATAACATACATTCATTAAAACAACGCAATTACGGTAAGGCGATCAATGGCAATGGCCATAACGCGATCAGACTACATGACCTGATCTGTAGTATAAATATTGTAATTAATAATGTAATATTAAATACATTTTTTTAATGTTAAATGACCAAGAGATAACTAGAGCTAAGCAACTTGGGTTGTGTCGCATCATGGGTGATCTCACATGTAGGTATATACCACATCCTTTAGGTGAGATATTTGGCGGTCTAACGGAAATCGTAGGAGGTGTTCCGTGTGGTCAGCTCAAGATACCTGGCCTGGGGCCCTAACAGATGTCACAGGGAGGTGCTCCCGGCGGCCTTAAGAAAAACGCAGGATGGTGCTCTAAATAACTCGAAGAAGTAAGTCGGTTTCTACCGGTTGAAAAGAGTCTTTTCAAAAGACTGTCGATTCCGTGGGTCGGATTCCAAGTTAAACTATGAGTCGCATAACGCGAGCCAACCCACCCTTACTACCAGTGGCGTAATTCGGGGATGGCAAGGGGTGACAGTTCCCACCTCAGAATTTTCCAACCCAGAATTTTGCCACCCCAGAATTTTGAAATCAAAATATCAATAACACCCAATTAATTAAAAATAGGTCGACTACTTTTAACTAAAAAGTTATTAGTTGAATATAAATATAAATGTTTTGGATGTTAATTAAAAAAACTAACAATGAATCGTTTAGGGAAATTTTGTACTGAAAATAGTCTAAAAAAGCTGCCATTTTTTTAAATTTCCCAGGCATGTGCCTGGCCACCTCAGTTAAATAACTAAAATTACTTCCAAGCTTAGGTACTACTACTAAGGCGATAAGTAGCAAATTTTTACCCATCCACACAGTGTGCTGCTGTTAAAGCCCATTTTTCACCAATGATGGCAGCCCCACAAAAATGGGTTCCCAATCCCTCTAAAGATAGTTGATAAGGGTAATCTGTAATTTTGGCTTTTTCCCCTAAAATTTAATCAAATTTAACTTGCAGAAAAAATAATGATTTTACTTACCCAATGTTAAAGCCACTAAGGCTAGCACAATCAAATAACAAAACATTTTATACTAATAATTTTAAAGATGGTTTATCACCTTCTATATTTATATAAAAACTGGTTAACAACAATATTAATTAAGCAGCATAAATTTCTGACGATTAAAAATGCAATTTAAAACGGAAATTATTACTAATATAATACTTATACAAAATATGTACTGCTTTATACTAAAATCAAATCAAATATAAAAAAATATAGTTTAATATCCACATTTTTTTGATATATTTAGATCATGTGGCCAAATATTATTTGAATAAAATCGTACATAAAATAAACAAAGTCCTTATTTAAAGGATAGGTACTTAATATAACAAAGTAATCTTAACAAATATATATCTTATTTAAAGTGGTTTAGACGTAATGAATTTTTTAAATCGTACATATATAAGAAATATGTGTAATAAAAATATCATTCACCATGAAAACTTGTTTGGCTTTGTTAAGTTTTGTGGCCCTCTCTTTTGGTAAGATAATTATTTATGTATTTTTTCTGCTTTCACCTTTAACACGCCCATTATTGCACATGTTTCCATGACAATAAATGACCTTTTAAATACACATTGGCAAGCTGTGGCTTTATGGCGTTTTAGTCACTGGCTGAAGTTAGCTTTAAGTTATTGACGGTTGTTAAATGTCATATAATCGGTAAAATAAAGTGCCCTTCTTTGTGAAATACCTAATACCAAATGTGAAAATTATTTTATTATCTCAATACAAAAATACAAAGTATTAAATAGTTTCTTGACACCAATATACAGGGTGTTTCATAATATATGCGCAGGACTTCAGGATGTGATAGCTCATCCAAAAAGATGAAAAAAGTCGCTATTAACTTACCCTCTAAAATGCACAATTTTCGAGATACAGGGTGTTGAAATTTTAGAAAAAAACTCGTTTTTTTTTAATATCTCCGGAACCGTTTATCGTACAAAAAACAGCTTTTGTAAGCATTTTCTACTCAAAATAAGCTATGTTTTGTGCTAGAAAAAAAATTTTTTTCCTTATAATTGGTGGAGATTTTGAAGGGGTAGCGGGTCTTTTTCTCCTCAACTTCTACGCCCCTGAAAAAAGTACGGTTTTGAGAGGCCCATTCGAACCGCCAATGTTTTCTACACAAAAAAGGTACTCCTGGTCATAAGCTCTAAAGTTGACTGTTTTCGAGAAAAATCAACTTTTATGTTTAAAAACATGGTCAATTTAAAAAAAAATATATTTTTTTTTACTAATTAAACAAAATTTATTTTAACGTTAGGACAAGTAACAAAACCAAACCATAATTGCAAAATAAAAAATGATTTAAAAGTTGTCTTTGCTTAATTCTCCAAACCGTAAAGGTAACGCATTTCGCACATTTCAGCATTTGAGTAAAAAATCATTTTTTAATATTTTTTTAATTTTGCAATTATCGTTTGGTTTTGTTACTTTTTCTAACGTTAAAATAAATTTTGTTTAATTAGTAATAAATTTTTTTTTTCAAAAAATTGACCATGTTTTTAAACATAAAAGTTGATTTTTCTCGAAATCGGTCAACTTTAGAGCTTATGACCAGGAGTACCTTTTTTCTGTAGAAAACATTTGCGGTTCGAAAGGGCCTCTCAAAACCGTACTTTTTTCAGGGGCGTTGAAGTTGAGGAGAAAAACAACCGCTACCCCTTCAAAATCTCCACCAATTATGAGTAAAAAAAATTTTTTTCTGGCACAAAACATAGCTTATTATGAGTAGAAAATGCTTACAAAAGCTGTTTTTTGTACGATAAACGGTTCCAGAGATAATCTAAAAAAACGATTTTTTTTTCTAAAATTTCAACACCCTGTATCTCGAAAATTGTGCATTTTAGAGGGTAAGTTAATAGCGACTTTTTTCATCTTTTTGGATGAGCTATCACATCCTGAAGTCCTGCGCATATATTATGAAACACCCTGTATAAAAAGATTATATGAATGTTTGTATCGACCTTTTGACTTCGCTGTAGTAGTGCATTAAACTAGATTTAACTGATAAAGCATTAAAATAGTGCCCATAAAACATTTTCTTCACTTTAACTGTGAAAACTGCTTCTATTCGTCTATTTTCACGGGATAAATTTTGATTTACACAGAAAATTTTCACATTTTAACGCCGGGAGATTCCCAATAACTGACACTTTTTGTACCTTTAACATTTCCCGTGTAATAATTTTTAATTATTTGTTATAATATTTTGCAATTATTGTAATAATAAAAATGATGTAATATTTTCTTAACATAATAATATTTTTTTATTTTAATATACTTTTCTACTCCCTCCTTTAAAACCGCGCATTATCGTACATGTTTCCATAACACTAAGTGACCTTTTAATTTAAATACACAATCAGAAGTTGTGGCTTTATGCCGTTTTAGTCACGGGTTAAAGTAAGTTGACAGTTGTCAAATGTCATAAAATCGTTAAAATAAAGTTCCCATCTTGTGAAATAATACTAAATGTAAACATTATTTTATTATCTCTAAACAAAAATACAAAATTATTTAATAGTTTCTCAACGCCAATATTTGTAAAGTTTATAATATATTATGAACATTGTACCGACCTTTTAATTTCGCCGGCAATAAACTAGGTTTAACTTAATTTCGGGTGAATATATTTACCCGAGTATACTCTAGCGTGGAGTGCCCATAAAACATTTTCTTTACTTTCACTGTGAAAAACTGTATTTTCAAGGAATACATTTCGATTTACACATACAATTTTGACATTTTCGACGGTGCGCCGGTAATATAGATTCCCATTCTTATAACCGTACACTGAAAAAAATAAGCTGTTGAAACAACAAAAAAAATATCAATTCAATATTAGTCAAATGAACAAAATGAGAATATTTGTTCTAATCTGCTAATTTGGTTAATTAAACATTCTTGATATGTCGGAGTAATATTTCGAAAATGGTTGTGCTAACATTTTTAAGATGATAAGATAAATTTCTTGAAATGTCCAGGTAACCTTTTTAGCATATTCACTTAACACCAATAAAATGTTAAATTAAAATATTTTGCGCTAATGTTGGGTTAATTAAATTATGGAATTAATATAAATAGAAAGAATTGAAACTTCCCTCGCCAGAGTTTTTGTTTTGAGTGCGTTCCACCTACTTCAAATACCTTCTGACAGACAGCTGATTCCAGTGGAATCATTCCACCTATATTGAGGGTCTTATCAGTTACTGATAATCTGTGTCGGGCAATTTGGTGTAGTGAAAGTTCCACTGTGAAACACACCGAAAACAAACGGTTACCTGAGCTTATATACTCCTATCGTAAGCCAATTTAGGCGAGATGTAAGAACATCACGTGATCAACACCGTCTAATGGCTTGGCGTGGGTGTTCGAAGCGCCCTTCACGGCAATTTTATTAATGCAAAATAAACAAATTTTAAAGTAACATTTACAATTTGTTAAATGAACAAATTTAATGTTTTGGATTTAAAGAGCAACTAAACGTTAATTTAATAGTTTTTTTAGGTAATCCTAAAAGTTTTAGTATTTGATTCAACCAATTCCAGCTATTAAATTAAAATAGGATAAACATTTTAATTCAAAAAATTAGTTTATGTTAAATCAATATTTTAACTGTCAAATGAACAAATAAACTTTGACAAACTCTGACTATTGCTTTGACACCAAAATATACATAGATTAATTAATCCAATAGGTTTTTTGATGAAACAACATTTTCAAAAATGACATTTAGGCAAACGTTAACTCAACTACATTATTTTTTTCGGTGTAGGTATACTGTTACTCTATTTGTCGGTCTTTGCAAATATATATATATATATATATATATATATATATATATATATATATATATATATATAATATAAATATAAACTGCTCGTCATAAAAAACGACGCACCTAGTTTTTTGGAAAATATTTGAAAGCTTGTTATTGAAAAATTACTGAATCGATTTTGAAAATCTTTGGAAATTCTGAATAGCTGATTCTTTGACTCTTATGTCAAATTTTGGGAATACGATATTTTGCACATAGCATTATACTACAGGGTGTTAAACGAAGAGATGTATTTTTTCCGAAATTTCAAGTTATTCCCATTCATGATGCAGTGGAGTTTGATAGTCGTAATACCCCTCCCTAATATAAGTAAGGTAATCCCTCGGAACGTTTTCGAGATTTTGTGGATATCTTGGCTAACTACGATTATATGGCAATTTTTCGAAAATTCACGTTATTCTTCATTTTAGTCCAAAAAATGAGCAATAGTTGATTCTGTGACTCTTATGTCTAATTTTTGAAATACGATATTGTGCACATAGCATGATACTACAGGGTGTTAAAAAAAAGATGTTTTTTTTCAAAATTCCAAATCCCCATTCACAGGGCAGTTGAGCTTGATAGTCCTAATACCCCTTCCTAATAACAGTTAGGTAATCCCTCGGGACGTTTTCGAGATTTTGTGGATATTTTGGCTAACTACGATTATATAGCAATTTTTCAAAAATTGTCGTTATTCTCCACTTAATTCCCAAAAATGAGCAAACTACGAAATGTATCGATTATTTATCAACACATCGTTTCCCCAATTTGCATGTTCTTGTGCCCATCTTCTTCTAGCAGAAAAAGAGGGTAGGCAGCTCTTCGTCCTGCGTGGTATGCAATCTTATATCCGTCATTTTATTTTTTTAATGTGATTTGCTGTTTGAAAAATGTTTTCATATTCGACGACAAAAATGACAAGAATAATTGAAAGAAGGAAGCTCCAAACCAGATATGCGCCATATTTTTTAAACTTTCATAGTCAACCGTTTGTAGAAAATTGCATGAATATAGCCTGCATAAGTTTACGAGAATATTTTTCTTTGGTTTGCATTTTTATTTTGAATTTAACCGAAAAAAATGGTTTTGTGTGAAACATTTCACTTTTGCTTATTTTTGGGACTTAAGTGAAGAACAACGTGAATTTTCGAAAAACTGCCATATAATCGTAGTTATCCAAGATATCCACAAAATCTCGAAAATGTCCCGAGGGATTACTTGTTATTAGGAAGGGGTATTATGACTATCAGGCTCAACTGCCCTGTGAATGGTGATTTGGAATTTTGGAAAAAACATCTCTTTTTTTAGCACCCTGTAGTATAATGCTATGTGCACAATATCGTATTCCCAAAATTAGACGTAAGTCAAAGATTCCACTATTTTGGACAACTGGGGAATAACGGCAATTTTCGAAAAATTGGTATATAATCGTAGAACTTTAGCCAAGATATCCACAAAATCTCGAAAACGTACCGAGGGATTATTATCTCTTTTTTTAACACCCTGTAGTATCATGCTATGTGCACAATATTGTATTCCCAAAATTAGACATAAGAGTAAAAAAATCAACTATTGCTGATTTTTTGGACTAAAATGAAGAATAACGTGAATTTTCGAAAAATTGCCGTACATTGTACGGCGTACAATCGTGGTTAGCCAAGATATCCATAAAATCTCGAAAATGTCCACAGGGATTACCTAACTGTTATTTGGGAGGAGTATTAGGACTATCAAGCTCAACTGCCCGGTGAGTGGGGATTTGGAATTTTGGAAAAATCATCTCTTTTTTTAACACTCTGTAGTATAATGCTATGTGCACAATATTGTATTCCCAAAATTAGACGTAAGTCAAAGAATCCACTATTGCTCATTTTTTGGACTAAACTGGGAAATAACGACAATTTTCGATAAATTGGCATATAATCGTAGTAAGCCGCGATATTCACAAAATCTCGAAAATGTTTCGAGGGATTACCTTAATAATATTAAGGAGGGGTATTACGACTATCAAACTCAACTGCCTCATGAATGGGAATAACTTAAAATTTCGAAAAAAATACATATCTTCGTTTAACACCCTGTAGTATAATGCTATTTACAAGCAGTTTATTATATTTAATTATATATATATATATATATATATATATATATATATTTAATTTAAAAAACTTTTAGATAATAAGAAGTTTTTGTGGTAGAAAAAGTATAATATGCAACTCGTTCATAAACATTTCATTTATTTAAATTAAATTCGTGATTAAAATGGTGTTAATAAAACTTAATAGATAATATTTATTAGTATATACTATAAGTTTTAATATTTAATTATTTTTAGGGGCCCCAAAATTACCTAATGTATTCCCAATACCAGATGGCAGGATCGTGGGTGGAGACTCCGTCGACATAAAAGATTACCCTTACCAAGTCTCAGTGCAATTTTTTAATGAACATGGTTGCGGAGGTACAATTGTTGGCAACAAATGGATTGTTACTGCCGCTCATTGCACTGTAGAATATAAAAGATTTGTTGGCCTTGTCTCTATTAGAGCAGGATCTTCAAAGTTAGAACGAGCAGGTCAAGTGATAAAAGTTAAAAAAATATACATTCATCCGAAATACGATGATTCTACAACAGACTACGATATTTCAATCCTGGAACTTAAAAAAGAAATAACAATTGAAAATGCTAAACCCATCCCATTAGCTCCTGCCAAGTCTTCTGTTGCACCTGGGTCTATTGCTACCATTACAGGGTGGGGAGACACCCAGGAATATGGTAATTTAGCAAACGTTTTACAGATGGTGCAAATACCAATAGTTTCCACTGAGGCTTGCAAGCAAGCATATGGCGAAAGTATAACCGAAAGAATGATATGCGCAGGCTATACCGAAGGTGGTAAAGACTCCTGTCAAGGAGATTCTGGAGGTAATTATAAATAATTTGTATTTTGTTATAAAGTATGATGCAAAACTTATTTTTAATAGGTCCTCTTGTTATTAATGGAACTTTAACTGGCGTAGTTTCTTGGGGCAATGGATGTGCTCTTCCTGGAACTCCAGGAGTTTATAGTAGTATTCCAGCGCTGAGAACCTGGGTTGACTCTGTTATCAATAAATGATTTTTTGTTTACTTAAATATAAATAAAATTATTAAGTTATGATGCTATATAGTCTTATTTATAATAATAATAATATTCAATTTTCTTAGTTCCTTTAAGAAACTTTCTTGACCCATTACTGGTAATATTCATAAGAAAAAAATTTAACCTACACCTCGCCAAAGTTTTTGTTTTGAGTGCGTTCCACCAACTTCACTTAGGAAGCCCCATCCCGTTATGGTGGCGGTGGTATTTTCAGGAAAAAAGGCATTTTCTTTAACCAGTGGAATACTAGATGCATTTTTTCAAAATGGAATAGTTGTGGCTAACTCCAAAATAGCTAAATCGTAATTTAATGTTTGGGGACTGTATTCAGTATGCTTATGCATAGTTTTTATTTGAACTTTAATACCTCCTTCTTCCACGACTTCTGATGCGGCTCTTATGGCAATATTGTCCGCAGTAAAGCTAAAAAATATTAATATATTATAAAAGTTTGTTACATTTATGCAATTTATATAGTTTTATGTAAAATTATATTTTTATTACATTTTCAATTCGGAAAAGGCCAAATTTATTTATTTTGGGTTTGCAAATAAAAGTATGCAAGTAAATTTAGTTGATTTTTACAACGTTTAAAGGTCTTCTACCTTATGTTGTCAAATAAAATGCTGTGTAAGTCTTGTCCCAAAGTGTAATTTTTAGCAAACTATAAAATAGGTAGAAGACTTATTTAAATGTTAAAATCTGGTGAACATATTACACAGCAAAAAAGATATAATTTTATTCGAAAACGTAAGGTAGGAGACTTTTAAACGATGTAAAAATCAACTAAATTTACTACAAAACTATATTTTTAACCTTATATTCTCTCACTAATAACATACATTCATTAAAACAACGCAATTACGGTAAGGCGATCAATGGCAATGGCCATAACGCGATCAGACTACATTACCTGATCTGTAGTATAAATATTGTAATTAATAATGTAATATTAAATACATTTTTTAAATGTTAAATGACCAAGAGATAACTTGAGCTAAGCAACTTGGGTTGTGTCGCATCATGGGTGATCTCACATGTAGGTATATACCACATCCTTTAGGTGAGATATTTGGCGGTCTAACGGAAATCGTAGGAGGTGTTCCGTATAAATAATATCTTCTTCATAAATGTTTTGGCTGTTAATTAAAAAAACTAACAATAAATCGTTTAGAGAATTTTTTTACTGAAAATAGTCTAAAAAAGCTGCCATTTTTTTAAATTTTCCCCACCTCAGTTAAATAACTAAAATTACTTCCAAGCTTACTACTGTAACGGGGGTTTTTGTGTCGCGTGCTTGTGGTTGCTATACTTTTACTACCTATTCTTTGGTTGGCCTACGGGAGCTTTTGGGTGTATGGAACCCGTTACAAATTACTAATCTAATCTGACCTTTTAATCCGGTGAAGATCGACGTGTCTTCGGCTGGAGGATGTCGGTGAGACGAGTCGAAGGCGAAGTACTCCTATATGTATATTGACACACTTAACTCACTCGCGAACCGCGCGGAAAACTTCATACACGATTACCGTTCACTATATACTTACTTTCGACTTAACTTGATTCAGGGCTATTTCTTATACAACAGGTAGAGCAATAAAGCGATATTTCAAACCATATAAATATATTAACAAACAAAGAGTTAACAATAAAAATGAAAAGATATAAACAAGTAAAATTAAGTTAAATAAAAATTAAAAAGAGATAATTAAAGTTACTCCAGAGATTTAATTTACAAGAACTAGTTTACAAAAAAAATTAGAACTCTAGATTAAGAAATTTAACTAAAAGTAAACTAAAGGAAAATGGAACAAATAATTAACTAAGCAAGTGCGCGGTGCGAGTTACTCAAAATTAGAACTCTAGATTAAGAAATTTAACTAAAAGTAAACTAAAGGAAAATGTAACAAATAATTAACTAAGCAAATGCGCGGTGCGAGTTACTCTAAAAAGTAAGTAACTATAATTAAACAAACTATTCGGAGTGAATCTAATCTACACAAATGGTTTGAAATACAATAATAACTATAAGTACCTTACACTGAATCAACTGAAGTTGGCGAGGATCTACGACCGATGTGGAAAGCGCGATAAAATTTAGATAAGAACTCCCGATTCAAAGGTCGTGTTGGTTTTTTATAGACTAATTTACGAAAAAATTGGAAGGGATTAATTCTTAAAGACCATTGGTCAAAATCGTGGCAACTCCCCCCCCCGCAAGGGTCATAGAAAATTGACTGGTTCAAAAGGTCATAAAATCTCATACCAACCGAAAAGGGCGAAAGGTTATTGGTTTTAATCTAAGCAGTTTAATAATTCTTAAGGGAGAAGGCGTTAACCTTTGACTTAAGTCGGAAACTTGGCTACTTGAAAGGTCGGGAACAAACAAGGTGGGAATTTTACTAGGCATTGGGCGGAGTTTCCGCCATTGTCGCCAACTTCAAGATAAACTATAATTTACTAGATTTGATAATAATCTTAAGATGATTAAAAAGTAACAAAGGTTGCCTAATGATTGAATCGACTGTTTTCATATCTGGTATTAAATCATATTAACTGAGTTTGATTTTATTGGGCATTCCCTTGGTTCAAACCATGCTTAGGATTTTTATCCATCGACACTTAATTTATATTGGCTGATCGAGACTTATCTTTTAATAAGCAGCCACGCTTTTATATTTACAATACAATCTACCTAATCTTACGTCTTATTTCTAGTCTATAATCTCCTATTTCTAATCTATAATCTCCATTTTTCTAAGTTTAGTTTTCAACTGAATCAATTCGTTACTTTCTTTAATTATATTAATTTTATTATATTTTTAACGCGTTTCATCTAGTTCTTAAAATGCTTCGTTTAAAAAAAGTGTTGCTGCCATATGTTTGGCGGCTTTGGCAAAATACAGATTGTCTGCAATATGGATTTATGGCTTTATGGCCTCGAGGGGAATTTTCTTTTAACACGACCCTATAAATTTGTTTTTGACTTTACATTTAAAATCCTTTTCAAAATTTCTTATTTTGCACATGTTAAAGCTTTCTAAACTTTTAACTTCTAGTTTTTCCACGAATTATTTTAACGGTTTTTTCGAACTTTCTCCCTGTTACATCACTCCCCCCTTTTTAAACGAATCAATTTAAAATACAACCGAGAACAACATAACAAATTGATTCGTTAAAAAAACTAAGTTTCCTACGCTAAAACACTTAATTGTCCTGACTAAAACTAATATCATTTTCTTCACGGGAACTTATGTTTTTTATTCTCTTCTTTCTTCTTGTTTCAGATGATTTTTCGTTTTACTTTAATTTCCTTCGGTTTCATATTTCTTCCTTACTGCTGGTTTTGTACTCGGTGGTGACGATGTGGTGACGATGTTGATGATACTTTGGTTATACTAGTTTTCCTGCTGCTAACTCTGATCTTCCTGCTTGATCTTTGTGGTTTTCTGCTCGTATTACACTGATGATAGTTTTCATAGTTCTTCTTGGTCCCTTGTTGCTGCAACTTCATGAAGTATGTGTGTGGTGGTTAACACATATCTCTTGTCCAATGGATGCGCGTACTTGCCGAGACTGTTGGCAAACGCGCTAACATGAAAGTGCATCTTTGATTGAGGTGGTGACTGCTTCGTTTTATTAAGCAGTCATATGGAATGCTGAATTCTCTGGTGGTACGAGTTGGTTGCATCTTTTGTAGCTATGGACACTTCTGGGCTGGCTCGGATTTTGTGGGGTCCTGGCAATGTCATCTTGATTTTTCTATTGATGGCTTTCATGGATAATAACATTAGAGTTGAAAAATACGTCTAAAACATTCCAAAAAAAACGAAATAAATATTTTGATTAATTTAGAATAACGATAATCATATTCTTCTCTTATTATCGATCCACGGTAGATTTTCTGCTATCCCTCTGCTTCTCAAAACCATTGGATGTTTATCGGTTGACTTTGCTTTGGCTTTTGGAGTCGTCATGGAGAAGTCTAAAGTGGCAGTTGGAATGGTCAATGGTACCAACTTTGATGAACTTCCTTGATGACTAGGACCTGCAGGATAATATTCGCTGGAAAGTAAATTTGAATTAGTAGTTGTTTCGGAAGAGACTCCGTTGTCTCTTCCTGGGAAATTTCCTGCACTGGGCCTCTGCACTTCCGGCTTATTACTTATTGGTTGCTCGCGTGTTTCCTTGGGTTGTTCTTCTGTGTATAAACTTATCATTGGGTAATTTAACTCACTTGGTCTTCTTGCCTTCATAGGTGTATTACCTAGTTGATTAATTTGATCTTCGGTGGCAAGACATAATTTCAACCTGTTAACATGTACTTTGTCAAATTTATTTCCATGTATTTCTTGTACTTCCGCAGTCACATTATTTAATTTAACTATTCTATAAGGTCCTTTCCATCTCTTTGTTAATTTTCTACTTACTCCACTTTTATCTGCTGGGTCAAATACGTATACTCTATCTCCCACTTCGAAGGTGTGCAACTTAGCTTTTCTATTGAATACGTCATGGACTTTTTCCGTATTACTCTCTATTATTGCAATGGCATTCTTATGCGCTATCTTCATTCTATTTAAAAACTCTGAGACATAATTTTCATCACTATCATACTTAACTTGCAGCGGTTTAAACATTTCGTCGTATGGATAATCCATATCCCGACCAAACATTAAAAAGAAAGGACTTCCCCCTGTAGCGTTATGAGTCGACAAACAATACGACGCTACAGCATAAGGTAGCCAAGTATCCCAATCTCTGTGATTTGGCTGAATATAGTGTGACAGTAAATCTTTTAGCGTTCTATGAAATCTTTCTAACGCTTTATTGCATTGTGGTCTATATGCAGTTGTTTTAAGATGTTTAATTTTTAAAATTGTACACATTTTTTCAAATAATTTTGAGGTGAAATTAGTACCTAAATCGGTAAGCAGTTGTTTTGGCGTTCCATGCCTCAAAATTATACCTGTTATGAATGTTCTAGCTACCGTATCTGCTGTTTGGTCTTTCATTGGAAAAGC